TACACACACAAAAATAAATCTTGTCTACATTATGCTACAATATTTTGTAATTCTTTTCGTTGACTTTCATTAGGAAGTTGATTTCTCTGGTCATGAAACTCTGAGCCTCTTGTGTTGTCAGTACTAACACAACTTGGCTGAAAGGTGCTGAAAGGTGTTATTCTTGTTACTATGCTAGAAATAGAAAAATCTGTCTGGATTATCAGTCCTATGAGCTTCAGTTTCAGGAAACCACATAAGGGTTTGGAGACATGTAGCCAGCAAATACCAGTGACAGCAGAGCACTTGAAATGTCCTATAGACTTCAGTCAAAGATCAGAGAAATACAAGTGTAAATGGTGTCACACTCAGGAATAAATATTTTCAGGAGAAGTTTTGCTGTCAAACTCAAGGAGATCAGAGTTGTATCAGAACTGATTTATTTTAAATAAAAATACTCAGTTGTGTAGTTTGCAAAAAGTTGGATAAAGGCCATGTTCTTCCCGCTCTTTGAAGTCTTCATGAAAAACATGGCTACGGTGAAGCGAGACCACAGTAATTTCTCCATTATTACTGATTTTCCCCATCTCTACCGTTTTAAACTTGATAATACTGTTTGTTCTGTCAACAGTCTTAATAATGTATTATACTTTAAAAATTACTATTTTGGGAGTCATGGTGGTTTTTGGCAAGTACTAAGTGCTTCTCTTGGACCGTAAATCTGCGGTGGTTAGTGAAAAGGTTAAATTCTCACTAACATGTCTTCTCACATCAACCTAGATGGAGTTAAAGCAAGCAAGTAGGGCAAGTTCAGTGGCTTTAAATGAGCTATGATTAGTCAAATCCCTCCAAAACCAAATAAATGTTATGACATTCTGTTTTATAACTTTCAACCAGAGAACTCTGGCTGACTGTTGACTTCACATCTTCTGATCTATGCTTTCCTGTCAGCGATACGTTTCCCGTCCTGGCACTCCAGTCTCTACATTTGTTCTTATTTTGGCCTAGCGGAGAATAAAGTGATACTGTAAGTAGAGTTAAAGCTGTGAGTAATTCTTGAATCTAATGTTCTTTGTCAAGACCTTCCTTCTCAGTAAAACTGGAAAAAAGGTACCGTGGCCAGTAGTGTAGCTATCGATATGCAGAATATGACCAGGGCTCGTTTTCCTGAGCATTGGCATGCGTTACAGCAAATGCACTGAGTTTGCTTTATACTACTCTCCCTTCTCCAGAGACAATCTTCATGTGGCCCGTGAGTGTCGCGTGTTCTGATTATGTTGGATTTACCATGCCTAGGAAGTAAGCCTGACAAGCTGCGGATGAGTCAGACCTATTGCTTATGTGATTTGTGCGTGGGAGCGGGTGTGTGTGCGGGTGTCCGTGGTTCTTCGTGACTTGGGGCTTGTGTTCAGCAAGGCAAGAGCAATGCTGGAGCTTCAGGGAGTGCCGCTACCACTCCCGTGTTGGCCAGATGGGATTTCTGAGTTGAACCAGCAGACACATCTGTGAAGACCTGGATGAGGCTCAGGCCTGCACGTGAACGAGCAGGGGAGCGTGTGTAGTGCTGAGGACACTGAGCCTCTGCTCTGCAGCGTGTGTCTGCGGGTACCTCCCTGTTCGGGATGTGCTTGTGTGGGCTGGTTCTGCGGTCCCAATCGGTGGAGGCTGGGACACACTCAAGGGTGTTGTTGATTTTTCATTTGTTCTGATTTTTTCCCCTAAAAATTCCTACGTTTATCTTGTTGTGATTTTACTTTTACTCAATATTGTGATTTGAAAAGCATATAAACAAAATACATCTTTATAAGAAGGGTGTTCCCCTTTCTTTCATCCTTCTTATGCCTAGATTTTGCTTAATAATTGCCATCTTTCCACATCTGTTCTTTAGTCCAGCAAATAAGCTGGATTTAATGAGATCTCTTTCTTTATGCGAGGACCTCTTCAGCATGAAAAGAGAAAGATAAGTAGTAATATTAGCTAGCATACATTATAAGGAGAAATGTTAGATTTTGTAGGAGCACAAAGTTGTATATAGCAGCTGTTCTAACCATTCATCTGGGGAAGTGGGATACACTTGCGTGATTCAGGCGTTTTTTTGGAGGAAGGGAAGAGGAGGGAGTATAATTGTATCTTTTTTTAATCATTATTATTTCCACTTATGCCTTTCCAAATATACCAGAGAGGCGGGAGAGGGGTGCCCGGGTCCCTGTGACGGCCGGGGCCGTTCACTGCGTGTGAGCTCCCCTCCACACCCCACCAGGGTCAGTCCCACTCCGTGCTGGTTCCGGCGACTTCAGTTCCAACAGCAGCGGGAAACAGCACTCCCGTGTCTTTATCATTAAATGTAGTGAAGATTTCTGGAAGACTTCCACTAGTATGCACTTAGGCATATTTTTATCCATTTGCAGAAGGATTTTTTTCCCCTGTTCTTTTAAATTAATGTGCTTCTGGGCAAATCTACCATGGCTGAATTCCTCTCTTGTGTGCCTGTGTTTGTGACCGAGAGTAGGGAAAAAGAGCTATTTGGAAAGTGAGTTTGTCTCTTATTTTGCCTGGCCGTTTGCATTAAAGCTTTTGTGTTAGATTGAAGTTGGTCATCAGTTTCAGAACTCATTCTGAAAGGAGAAGGTAGGAGACAGAAGCAGGGAGCACAGCCACTGCAGCCTTTTTGCTTTAGCAAATGATGCTAAAGCAAAGCAAAAGTAAACTAAAACATGGTTATACACTCCCAAATAATAATAACAACAACAACAACAACAACAACAACAACAACAACATGGTGTTTGGTTTTTTGTTTTTTGGGTTTTTTTTTGCAATCAGTCTTCTGATTTTAAAGGCTTAATTTACAATTTCTGTAAGATTGGTTTGGTGTGAGCGGTGTAGGCTGAGTTAGCCTAACTTTAGCTCAACTAAATAAATAGTCAAGCTAATTTCTGGTGTTATCCTACCCACAGCATGTACTGTACTGTGCCTGATGAGAATGCCACCACAGAGTGCCTGATGTGTCCAGCGAGCGTGCTGCCACGGGCCCAAGAACAGCAGGGTTTCCATGTTGAGAGGTGTAAGGGGAACGGTCCCTTTACGAATTCGTTTCTCCGTGTGTGCGTGTTTTCCCTGAATCAGTAAAGTGGGTTCAGACTCTGCTTTCCAGCTTTGTCTAAGTAATTCTTAAGATTAGAATAAAATTGCAAAAACTTTTATTTCGCTAAGATGAAATCTGAGATGTTTATGTAGAAATATGAATTGTGAAGTGAGTGGTGAGGGGACATTAGGTGGGTTGAAGTGCATGTAGAAAAAGCAGTAGTATTGTCAGGTTTGTTTAGAAAAATTGAGGCATCCAGCCTTCTTTGTAATGATTCAAAGCATAATAATTCAGCTGCTTATTCTGGTGTAGTGAGGGCATACATAAATCACAAGCACACTGCATCCTAGAGATGGGTTGCTTGTACTTATCCATAGAACTTACTGCATGGTAACAGTTATAATTAATTACTTGACAGACTGAATGTTTCAGAGTACTTTGTCATCAACATGCATGGGTGGCAGGTAGTTGTGCTGAGGTGTTCAGGTGTTCTTTAGTACATAGTAATATAAAAATCAGAGCTCGGTCCTCTTCCAAGATTAAAATTTGTCCTTGCCTTTCCGAAAAGTGGGAGGCAAAGAAAAGGTGATGCAATGTCTTCTCGACAAGATAAGCTTCACCTACCACCTTGAACTATGAAGTTCAAAGTGACCTTCCAGCCTTTATCGTCCAAAGATCCCCACGCCATGGAGAACACTACCTAAATCTGCTCCTGGCAACTTCTACAGCAGAGTTTGACACTGGTGAATTTCGCAGAGGGCTGTGTATATGGGCACGTACGATATAAATTCTTAATTTAGAAGAAAATATGTAAATGATGAAAATCCGAAGTACTTGGTGATAGGGAGGAGGGGGTTTTGTGAGAAATCTTGTCACAGTGAACATAAATCTGGATCTTCGTTGTCTAACCTGGAGAGTTATTCTTGCTCATATGGTGTTTCCTTGCTGTAAAACGTCTTTAGGCAGTACTGCCTATGCATTCAGCAGATTCCCTGAGACTTCCATAGGTCAGAAAAGCACTGGAAAAAAGCTGAAAGTGCTTCCAGTCATCTAGTAGTCACTTATATAAAGTAAGTAAACAGTGGAATGAAGATTCCTTTTTGCCTCATATCTGATGAGGTTAAAGGGTGAGCTCTTGATTGCTAGTGTATTTGTTCTGTGCCATAGACATTCTCAATTGAAGAAATGAATGCTTAAATTGGATGGACTATTATTGTTTTTTACTTCTGAAGTGAAGTACCTTTTTGTTGAGGTGCTGGGAGCAGGAAACTATGTGATTCCCGTCTTGCTGTTTCAAGTGAAGACAGCACTTGATTGATTAGCAGTGCCTTCTTTGTGTCAGTAAAGAAAACAGCAAGATAATTTTTTGAATGTTTATATCGTCTTTGTCATTCCTGCAAAATGGGTTAACATCTTGAAGTATTCTTAATGGTTCATCTCTTTTTCTTGAAAATGTCCTTTGTATTGTTTTGAGATGTTAGACAGGAACTACCTTTTTTCTCTTGAACTTTCTGTTTTATGGAAAGATGAAAGAATGCTAAAGTTTTGCCCACCTTAATTTTGTCATGGGTTTCACTTGGGGCCAGATTTCAGCCCACATTTTAGGCATGTTTAATTTTAATGGTGGTTAGGGCACCAAGAGAGACTTTCACAGGGAGGATTTTTCACAAATTCATATGTCCCATGGATTTTGGCAGTTCTGTGACAAGTACTTCTCTTTTCTGATTGTGATCCCAAGCTGCCAGTTATTTTAAAGAATATTTTTTTTTTCTGCCTCTTTGTTTAGTTCTTGTTCACACTGTGTAGTTCAGTGCCTTACATTTCTAATTTATTGTCTTGAAAGACAGATGTTTTATGACTGCTATAAATGTCTGAGAACTGCTGATGAGCTGTCTCTTCAATACCTATTATTTCTCCTTTATGTTTCCTTATCTCCTAGGAGCCTACAAGGTAGACCCACGACCCCACTGTGCTTGGCTCTGCACAAACACTCAACAGAAGCAGTGGATGATTATAGAGGGATGGTGACTAAAAGGTAGGTAAGAGGCTGTATTTTGTTCAGTGAGTAGACGGTGATGTCATGGAGAGATTGTAAGATGCTGTCTGGAAAAAGGCATGTGAGACGGTTTTGGAGACCATTACAGGTATTCTGCTTTTCAGTCCTTCCTAACCTAAGGAAATGCAAGAAATGGAAATGAGAGAAACACAACAAAAACAACCTCCAGTTCTCCTTTCTTCTTCCCTCGAATTACGTGCCACTTCAAAAAGGGAAACTATGTTAAAATAGGGATGTTTGTTTAAAAAAAACCTGAAAGGGCAACTGTAAGCGTAACATGTTTGTAGGTGGCAGAGACGCTATTTCAGGATGCTGTTTTGGAGACCCAACACAAATTCTTACCATCAGTCTAAAAAAGACTTAGGAAAAGGAAGCCTGTATAGCTAAATGACAAGGTAGAGGAGACTATTAAAAGCAAGAAGACATCTTAAAAAAAGCTGTGGCTGCATTCAGAGAAGGAAATAGGACCAAAAAATTCCCTTATCAGGCTAAACATACAATCAATAAATGCTTTTTTCAACCACACCAGTAGCAGAAGGCCAGTTGAAGAGTCTGTGGGACCTACGTACAATGACATCATGAAAAGAATGATCTGAGATAAGGCCACGGCAGAAATCTAAATAATTATTCTGTGTATGTGCTCAACACTGAAAAGCGTGGGGTGGTTCCTGTTTTGGAACCCTTCTTGGGGGAGGCTTATGAGATTCCCTGTCGCAGCTGGAAGCATTTGTAGGAGAGATTGTGGAACAAATTGCATGTTCCCAATTTCACAGGTTCAGATGTAGTTTACCCAGGTTTTTAAGGAACAGAAGAGTGAGATGGAGCAGTTAGAGAGTAGCATGCAACCTCTTGCTGTAAAGTGTCTCAGCAGTTGAGAACTTGAAGATGTCTAATTTCATGCCATGTTTTAGAAAGCATTAATGTGGAATCAGAGAGCCTAGAAACAAACAGGCCTCTTGTTTAAATTGAGTGGACAAATAAAAAATTAGATTAGTGGCTGTTTTAGGAAGGACATTGGATAAATATGATGGAGATACCGAGAAAGAATTGAGTTCAGTGAGGGAGAGCCTGATGAAGAGGAGATTTAAAAACAGGTTAATATTAGCCTTGACCTACTTGAAGGGTGCTTACAGAGATGACAGAGGCAATCTTTTTAGTAGTGGCAAACCGTGTAAGAGGGGGGTTAACATACACAGATTGCAGATTGAAATGTTATCATTGAGCATTGTGGGAAAATCTTTTTCACTATGAGGGTAGTGCAGCACTGGAGAGTGTTACCCAGGGAGGGGGGATGGCACCTCTTCTGGTGGAGGCTTTCGAGTCTTAGCTGCACTATGCTACAGCTGACCTGATCTACTGTGTCTAGTAGTGGTTGGTCAGAGTGGATGACTCCCAGAGATCCCTTCCAGCCAGAATTTTTGTGATTCAAAGTCAAGTCTTGCTAAACTGCTGTGGTCCTTCGAAGGAGGTAACTGGCATGCAAGTGAAAGAGATTTTATGATGTATTGTTCTACTCAGATTTTGAAAAGGTGTTTTGTATTCAAAGTCCTTTCAAAAAAATTTTGAAGGAACTAAACAGCCACAGGTTAAAGGGGAGGGCTGCCAACCGTGTAAATAATTGGTTAAATAGTAATAAACAAAACACCAGGAGAAAAATGTGTTGGAAATCGCCCGTGGATTTCCACAGAGATCTCTGTGAATACCCAGGGGGATCTTCATTTTCATAAGTGGCTTGGAACAGAAGTGTGGTGACAAGGTTTGTTTCTGAAACTAAGTTGTTCAGGGTGAAAGAAGGTAAAAGAAAAGGGAGCAAACTGAAAAACTGCAGAACCTTATAAAACTAAGTTGCCATTAAAGTGGTGGATAAAATTCATGGTCAGTAATGGTAAAATATTTTGAGTTGGCCTGAGATCTTGGGACTAGAACCAGTAATTTATTGAAAAAAATCAACTCTAGTAGCAGTCAGAAAGGGAATTTATATCAGTAGTTGCTCTGAAAGGAGAGAGATCAGAATATCACTAAGCCACTCTCTAAATCTGTGGTGTGTTTGCATCTGAAATATGGTGTACTGTTCTGGTCTCCTTATCTCAGAACAAGTGGAGTGAAAAAGAGAACTGGAAAAGGTTCAGAGAAGAGCAACAAGAATAAAGGAGGGCAGCAGGATGCAGAAGGTATCGGTGGAGCAGGTTCCGTGCAAGAACAACTAGCTGTCTGAGAGTCTTCAGACTGGAGAAGAGAGAGTGGCCAGATGCTACTGCTAGAGGTCTGTAAAATTGCAAGAGCTGCATGGTTCGTGGACGGGAGACTAGTATTCAGTGCCACCTTATTTTTGTATTAGAAGAAACAGGCAGGGAGCAGTTTCAAATCTAGGAAAATAAGTTTTTCTTTGTATAGTGTGTAAGTCGGTTCTGAAATCCCTTGCCACGTGAGGCCGTGTGTGCTGCATGGGTATAAAGAGCTGCTGAAAAAAAGTTGGAAGTGGAGGCAGAAAAAGAAAAAGAGGGAGAGAAAACCCAGTAGGTGACAAACAGAGGCACTACCTCTAGATAAGGAAGTTACTTTGCTGCAGATTGTGGAAGGCTGTACAGTAAGTGTTTTTTTGGGGAGTGGAAGAGAATATTTCTATATGACTGCTCTGTTCTTCACTGTTCCCTTAGACCCCTGGTCTTGGCTGCTCCTGGAGACAGGGTAGTGGGTCAGGCTGGATATTTAGTCTGAACTAGTTTGGTCATTCCATTTGGGTTAAACATCCCGCCTGGCCCACTGTGGTGGTTCTTATGGTGGTGATATTTTATAAAAAGTAAGGTTGCAGGGTGAGGTCCCAGAAGAGAACTATTGATAAAACTAGTTTTAAAAATAATAAGTTGTTATGTAATTTGAGGTCTCGCAAGGAGCTCAGAGACTTTTCCTTCATTGTAAGATAAATCCTTTTTATCTTATTTTGGCACTTGATGAATTACAATTAAATTAATCTTAATATGTTCAAGCTGTTTCATCGAGTCCAAAAGTTTAGTGCAAAAATCTCACCACTTTCCTAGTGTTTCCTGTGCAGTCTGTACTGCCTGTCAGAGAGCGAGGAATTACCAAAACACCTTTTCTCATTATGTAAGTCCTAGTGAGACCCCCATTTCAGTGTAGAGACCGTAGACTTTGGGGAGAGTCAACCAAGATGAAATGGCAAAGCCTTGAGAGAATACAAAGAGAACGAGGAAAGAGTGCTGAACCTGGAGATACTTTTGTGTTTGTGAATTAACTTGAGAGGCAAAATGTTGGAGCTTTATTATGATGATCAAGGGGGCAAGGCTAAATGTGACAAGGTTGCATAATGGTAGAAGTTGAAATGGCCAAAACAGCTAAGGCCACTGGAAGAGAGAGGATCGTGGGAGAAGATTGATGGAAAATATGTAAATTGAACTGGAGGAATTAAATGAGAAGAGGTGAGCAAGGATGAGAAACTACTGAAGGAAGTTCTTAAGAATGAACAGGATTTTAGGAGCTTAGAGGAGCAGGTACCGGGAATGAAAGAAACAGTGTCTTTGGGTTTCAGTCAGTGGTTTATGGACCTGAGATGGATGGATCCATGCAAGTATTAATGAGCGCTTAAATTTTCTGTAGCAGTATCTGTACTTCCTCTGGGAAGTTTTCTAAGAGGACTTGGTATCAGAAATCATGGGAGGGGAGAACGGTGGCTTTTCATTAGATTAGAGAGGGTAGTTGCTCTTGGTAAAAGTTAATTTCTTTAAAACAGTAGCAAAAATGAGACTAAAGCAGCTGAAATGAAGACTCAAATGATTTCTAAGTAACATGGCCAAAACTTGCAAAGACAAAAATGACATGAATATTTCAAACTGTGGTGTACAGAGTCCTGAGGAAAGAGTGTTTTTCTTGCAGGAGGAGGGAATACAAGGGTGTAGTTTTAGGTAAATGGAGGGGAAGTGCAGAATAAGAGCAGCTACAACGGAAGGAGGAAGAGGACGACCGGTCATTGCCAATTAAAAGTACTGCTTTAGGTCAGTCATTTCTCTACCCACATAATTCTTTGAGCTCATCCATCTGTGAAGAAGAGTCCTTTCTCGCAGCCCTCGTAAGTCTTCTGGTGTCTTCCTTGTGGCGCTGTGTGTGTGGTGGTGGGAGGTTTCCCTTTGTGCCAGGCTTGGGGAATTTTGACAAATGAAGCGTAATAATGAAAGTCTTGTTAGTAGTAGTTACTGTTGTTTGTTAAAAGGAACCTGCATTGCTTCAAAGCAGCAATAGCAATTTCAGAGTGGAATGAAGGAGCTTCATTCTCTTTCAGAAGCTCTGCGCCTGGAATGTAACGTGACTGCAGACCGTTGAGCTGCAAACAGCTTTGTACTGCAGTGATGAATTGTGCTGTGCTTGACTCTGCATATGAGGTGAAGGAGGATCAGAGAGGGATGGATGAGGTCATTGTGTCTAATGGAAAGACCCTTTGTTTCTTACTACAGGGAATGAGACTCTTCCCATTAAAGCCTGTTGTTAAATCTCAGATAAATGGCGTCTAGAAGCATTAGAAGTTCTAAGTCACTCGTCTCCCTTGTCTGAGCAGGACGTGACACAGGATTTGAACACCTGGTGTGAAACTAAATGGTCTTTGATTTACAATTTTCATCTCTTTTTGTTGTTGTTTTTTTGGTTTTGTCTTAAAAATCTAGTTAAGAATAAGGTTCAACTTCCTCCACCACTGCAACTGCCCTCCCCCAGGCCATACTTCTTGCAATAGAGACTCTCCCTTTAAGTATTTGAGATCTCTCTCAATTGTCTGAAGTCTCGTGGGTTGCTTTCTCTTGTCTTCTTGATCACTGAAAATGTCAAAAGAATTTGTAGAGAAGGGCACTGTTTTGAGACTCTTTGAGTGCTCTCTGCTGGTCTCTGGTGTATGTTTGGTTGGTTGTTTTGTTTTTCCTCCCACGTCACACAGGTTTTTGTACTTGCAGCGTGTGCATTAATGCAGTGTGTTA